TGGGAAGGTGAGGAAGGACCTGTGCACTCTGCATCAGGCACAGAGAGATGGAGGCTGAAGAGGGTCTGCTGTGTGTGTGCTTTGGTAATTGCAACTCGCAGATAAAAAGTGTCCGCGCCATGCCCCACTTCCATCACATATGACAAGTGAATATAAGGCCCACACCACAGAGGAGACTAAATGGGACAGTGATGGGATTTCTCCCTACAGCTTGTGATCCACTTCACTCACTCCCAGGAGAGCCCACACCCACAGGTATGTATGTATCCAGCCAGACAATGCTCAGATCCTTTGCTGGTCCAGATCTCTCCCTCACTCTTATACTATGGTCTTAATTTTATTCTGGCATCTTCAAACTTGGATGCCTCATGGGCAACTCAAACTCTGAGGTCCAAAACTTGGATTTAACGTTCCCACTACTGCTAAGTGATCATGGAAGCTTATAGAATTTTTATCCAAATAAAATTCATGCCATAAAATTAATCATTAACAATTTTATTTACTTTTGTTTTGTGAAATGGGGTCTTCCAAAACCCAGGCTGGCCTCCAACTTTCTATATATCTGAGAATAACAGTAAGCACCTAATTCTCCTGCTTCCAACACCCGAGGTGCTGGATTATAGGCATGCTCCACAATGTCTGGATGCCATTAGCCATAATCCTGCCACATCTTTGCATTTCATTGGACAGCTCCAGGGATTGGTCTGACTGGGGTAGCAAGGGAATGAAAAATCACACACACACACACACACACACACACACACACACACACACACACACACACACACACACCTGGATTGCGTAGTTTATCTCTGATGGAGAAGCCTTAGCTCCCTGGAAGCTCGGAGTGTTTATTGTACACAGTTGGCAGGGAGCAGGTTATTACACACAGGCCTAGAGTCTCTCAGTCGGTTTTCCCTGTGTCCTGTAGAATGTCTGGCATTCTCCTCTGTGAGGCAGGAACCTGAAGGGCCATCTCGCCTTGGAAAGTTCAGTGGTCACCTTCCTATGGGTCCTGCATGTCCAGTCGATACAACATTTTGTCACATAGTCCAGGCAAGAACAGTTTCTTGCCCAAATGGCTATTTTTGCCAAAGGAAGATAAACTCCATGTGAAGTGTCTTCAGTGCCCATCATCTTCCTTGAACTGATTGGTGCTTCCAGAAGCAGACATGTCTTATTGTCCAGAAAAGTCTAAGTTTTAAAACATTTTAAATACCATATTCTGTAGGTTTTAAGTGTTTGGAGATCACCTATCTAACTGAAATATATCTATGTAGATAATATAGACTAATTATTAATCTGTATTTCTTAATTATACATTACAATTTCAAATGAGCTGCACAAACATAATAACTTAAACAAGAGTAAATATATATATAGTATAACAAAATTACCTTTAAATAGATTTTGACTGTCTGTTTTCAATTTCCTTACAATTATACCTTTAACTGGAATCTCTGCTTCATATGGTAATTTTATGCTTAACTTGTTGGGTAAATGCCAAATTGTCTTCCCCCAGAATTCCCTCATTTTACAAATTGTCTTTTGTAACACACACACACACACACACACACACACACACACACACACACACACACATTTGGTTTCATTAACATCATAATATACAGAGCTTCTGTTTTGACTTCTGCAAAAATTTGATATTTCCCTTAATTAGCACATGTTTTCCTAGCTACTCTAGTAGGTGTGAAATGGCATTTCACTATGGTTTCACTTTGCCTTCCCCAGTGACTAAAGATGAGTGTTTTTCCAGGTCCAGTTGGCCATCTTCATCCATCTGGAGAAGTCTTTATTCACCTGTTTGTCTATCTGCATCCTCTATCTTTGAGTTGAAATGTGGCCTTGGGACTGGGGAGGTGGTTTAACGAGTTTGCTGTCAAGGGGCTGGAGCCTGGTGTGGGGAACAGTTGTGGAGATGCACGAGGAGGGACATTTCTCTTCCACAGCCACTTCCTTGCTGTCTATTTTCAAGTGACTAGTGATAAAGAAAGTGAGTCATAGCACTTGTGAAAGTTTTGACTTGGTTAAGAGCACAGTCATCCACATTGTTATCTGCCAAGGTAAATATATATGTACATATACACAGCCATTCTTGACTCTTCCAGCTCCGTATCGGCCAGGTTGACAGTTACATTTGGACCATGTATCGGGACCATTTCTCCTCATGATTAACTAACTCCCACTTTTTCCAAGTTTAATAGGCACTGCCACTGGAGTAGCCTGTAAAAAAAAAATGTCATCTGCTCCCAGAACTTCTGGTTTATTTATTGGGATTCCTGTCCAGAAATCTGTATTGTTAATATGCCCCTGGGTGACTCTGATGCGGGCCATCCTAGAATCTTGGAGAATAACCATTTCAGTTTATTGAAATCTTGTTCTGTTATAGAAAACACATCAGCTACTTGAGTGAAATTGTATGAAAGTTCTGTAGGTAGCTATTCATGATGACTTGCACACAATGACGTTCTAAGGACATTGCGGGGAAGCAGGAAACATCTGGGTCCATTGCAAACTTTCTGCCTCTCCTGTAGAGAGAGCAAACTACAATAGGAAGGTCTCAGTTGGGTTGTCACAACATGGTTTCCTGGTGTCATATTGCAGTGAGCCTAGGTTGTGCTGGGGACTCTCCTTGGCACTGAATTGGCAGGGTTAAATGAAACATTTTTTAGTGTTTTATTTTATTTTATTTTATTTTTTTGAGACAAAGAGTCTTTCTGTAGCCATGGCTGGCTGAGAACTCTGCCTGACTCTGCCTCCCAATGCTGGATTTAAGCATGATTAATCCATGCCTTGCATCTTGGGTTTTTGTTTTTGTTTTGTTTTTTTGTTTTTTGGATTTGTTTTTTTTTTTTGTTTTGTTTTTTTTTTTTTTTTTTT